TTAAATTAACAACTTCAGCTAATCAAATAGAGCATTAAAAAAAAAAAAAATGAGAGCGAGAATATTTAGCAAATCAATGATATTTGAGCTTTTTTTTCTTTCAAGCTAAGCTAAAATTAAAAAAATTAAAGATTATTTAACTTTTTTTTAATGAATCATTTCATCATTTAACAGTAGCTAATCCAACAAGCAAACAAACGATATAATAAAATTTTGAAACTCCAAACGAAACGGATAGTATAAATGAAAATTTATTGTATTGTTATATATTATATAATTAAGTTTTTTTTTTTCCTTTTTTATAAGTTTTTTCCTTTTTTTTTTTTTTTTTTTTTTTTTTTTAAAAATATAATTAATTATAAAAAGTAAAACGAAAAAAAGAACAAACTTTCCATTTTTATTCATGATATCATTTTTTCATTTATACATTGATGAAAAATAAAATATTTTAGTATAATATTTTTGCTTTATTTACGGCTAGCATGTATATAGCAAATAATAAATGATTACTGACTGTTATTTAAATAATTTAATTAGTATGCTTAGAAATCTATGATGATGGCAATAACAACAACAAAAACATTTGACAATGATCACATTCATATAGATAGACATATTCATTTAAATGAAAATGTCACCCTGCTAAAGAAGAAAATTAAATTTTAAAGTTAAATACATGACTAATGCAATTATTTGTTATTTATTAGAAATGAAATGTTGTTTTCTCTCAGACCTTTAATTATATTCTTATTGAATAAGTAAGTAACTCGCATATAAGTATTACATTTTATCAATTCTTATATTAAAAGAAAAAATTTCCATTTCCTTTTTTACTTTTTGTCAATAAATTTAATACACAAATTTTTTAAAAAAAGAAATGATGCAAAAAAAAAAATAAAAAAGGCATTTTTATTTCTTTTCTTGAATATAATATTGAAAATGTAAAGGAAAAAATTACTGGTATGTATTTTTTTATTTCAAATAATTTTAAAAAGGGATTTTTTAAAATTTCAAAAAAACAAAAAAAAGACAAGCATTTCTTCTGAGACTTTCTTTTATTTTGATAAAGTACTGAAAGCAGAAAAAAGAATAAAGTATCATTTTTTTAATAATGATTTTTTAAAGAAAGTAAACACAAAATTTTTCTTTAAACTTTTTTTAATACAATGCTGGTAGGCAAAAAGACAAAAAAAAATCTATATATTTTTTTAAACAATAAATTGTTTTTTTTTTTTTTTTTTTTTTTTGGTAGGATATTTATACAATCATTAAAGAATAAAATTAATTCGTTGTCCAATAATTTTGCTAAATTATATCAGAATTATAAATTTTTTCACCAAAAAATTATTTCATTATGCTAATCATCATTTCGCTAAAGAAAAATATCAATTTTGTAATAAGCAATGATAAGATAATAAAATGTTAACAATATTTTTCTTCATGAAAGAACAAAAAATGATATTAATTTAAAAATTAGCCCGTGCTAATTTCATTTTTAAAATTATATGAATTATAGTTTTGTTGTTTCTCTTAATAAATGATTATTATGAAGAAATTTTTACAATGAAAGGGAATAATTTTACAATATCATTATTATTTGTTTGCAAAGTTTTATATATCTGTTCTTTTGAAAGTTGAAAAAAACGATGACAAATATGTATAAAATTAATTTTAATTAAAAGTATTTGTGGTAAACGCGGTCGTTACGCGAAGAAACAAATAAATAAAAAATTAAACTTCGCAACAAAAAAACAATTCCAAAAATTTTCAATTTATTTCTTTGCCTTCTAATTTTAATTTATACACATTAGTATAAACCATAGGAAAGCTTTTTTTTTTCACACTTTTTTCAATATTATTTTGTCTTATTTATTTATTTGTTTATTTGTTTTTGTTTTTGTTTTGTTTTTTTGATTGTCTTGAATGAAAAGAAATAAATGATTAAGTGAAAACGCACTTTAAAATAAACATTACATGACGATATAATAAAATAACTAATTACAATAAAGTAAAATTTATATAGCATTTAAAATTTGACCGTTATTTGTTGTTGTTACTAGAGATTCAAAAGTAGTTTCTTTCTTGTAATTTTTTAAAAATTATCATATTTTCATACAAAATTAATTTGAAAAATTAATTTTGTAATTTAATAATAAATTCACATACTATTAATAATAATAGCATATCTGTGAGGCATTCTTTTATTGCTAATGAGTGTCGCATAAAAATGAAATTCTAATAAGTTTTGAGCGACAAAATTATGATAAAATTGGAATCATTAATATTAATTAGAGAAAACAAATAATTGATTTATTCATCAATGATTTTTTTTTCTGCAACGATATTTGCAGTAGGATCAATTTTTTTTTTTTTTTTTTGGAATGTATAATTTTATCAGTGATAGTATTATTGATTAACAAAATTTTGTATAAGATATAATTGTTCATATATCATTTATATTTACTTTTTAATAATGTAAATTATTGATTGCTGATTTACATAGTACAATGAATATTTGACCAAAATATTGCTGAAATAATGAAACAAAAATAACAAATTTTTGATAAAATTCTGATTTACACAAAATGCTAAAATTTAATGTGAAATGATAAGATTACGAATCAGAAATATGCAAATATAAATAGTCAAATTGATTACTACCACTGTAACAAATAAAATTGTCAATTGATTTAAATTAATATAAAATTTAGCACTTTAATTTTTGAAAAAGGAAAAAAAAAGCCTTTCGCATTTAATTTGAAGAACATTAGCAATTTCACCTAAAATGTATATGAAAAGACAGAAATATCATTTCAATCATCAATCAATGATTAAAATAAATTTTTTCATCCTTCTTTTGAAAAAAAAAAAAGATAAAAAAATGTTTTCGATTAAATGAAAGCAAAAAAAAAAAAAAATGTAATCAATTTAATGCATAGATGTAACAGTTCTAGTAAGAAAGCTGAAACAGTTATACAAGTAAGAATTGAAATTTCCAAAACAAAAATTTTGAAAATTTGTCAATAAAATAGCGAAGAAAAAAGTGAAAGGAAACAAAAGAAAGAAAAGTTGCTATTGTTAGCATTTATGTTTTATTTCAATGATTTGAATGGAATTTGTAAAAACGGATAGCTTAAGCCTCTTCTTTCCTTTTTCTATTTTTTTTTTCCCTTCTTTTTTTTTTTTTTTTTATGTTTTATGTATGATCAATTTCTCCTCGTTTTTCCAATTCTTTTTGCTTTTCATTCAATGTGCAAAAATTATAAATGTTAAGAATTTTAAGATCTCAATTTAATCAATGATAAAATGATAAAGAAATGAACAGTATCAAAATAGGAAAATAAATGAATTGAATTTATAAATTTCCAAAAAAAAAAAAAAAAAACATTCGTCGTATTAATTTTCCTACTGATCGATTAACTGAAAGCATAAGTAACAAATTAAAATCATAATGTTTCCAAATGTCCAGTAAATAAGCCATAAAAAATCCGCGGGAAAGCGATTAGTTCGGTACTTAAAGATGAATGCATTTGCTTAAATGCTTAATGTGTAAACAACTATAAAATAGTATTTTAATAGGTTCGGGGATATAACATCATTACAACACATCCATCTGTGGGAAATTATAACCGTGAATAAAATGAAAATTTTAAACGAAAATGAAATGAAAAATAGAAAATTTCAAATCAAAATAAACAAACTATATGTAAAACAAAACAAAACAAATTATGATATTATTATGTTTAGAATATATCTCGTATTTTTATTTACAATGAAAAAAGAAAAAAAATTAAAAAATTATAAAAAAAAAAAAAAAAAAAAAAACTAATGAAATCGAAAAAAAGAAAACGCAAGAAAGATGTAACATAAACAAAAAGACAAAATTATTATTTTTATGAAAATGTTTAAAATTAAGATTTTTATTTTTATTTTTATTTTTTTTTTTTAGTAATAAAGAAGAAATAAGAAAAGAGAAGGAAAAGGATTTATTTTTTCATGTTTTCTATTACTTACAATATCACAGGTATGTATGAAATGAGAAATAATTACGAAAATGGGAATTTCATGCTATTAACTAAAACGATTTTTTTTTTCAATTCAATTTAGAGAACACGAAAAGGAGCGAAGAAAAAAGGAAGAAAAAAAAAAGAAAATTACTAAACTATTTCATTTAAGTAGAACTTTATGATGGCAGAATTTAACTTTAATCAATTTAATAATACTATACTTCAAAACTGATATTTTTTAAAGGCAAAATATTCACTTATCAATAATTGGTTTCATATTTATATTTATTGTCTTGATTATTACTTATCATTAAATGATTAATAATTGCTAAATTAGAAATGTATGAATTAAAATGTTTATGCAATAATTTTTTCTATTGCATTCTTCATTCCATCTCTACTTTTTTTTTTTTTGCAGTCAACTTAAGCATATAAATTTGTAAAACTATTTAGGGAAAAATAAAAATAAAATTTCCAAAAATTTTTCAAAAAAATATTTATATAATCTGATATGTTTGAATGAAATAAAGCAATCAAATATTAATATTAAGAACGATGATAATGCCAAATGTCAAACCATTCTAAATTAAAAATTATCTATTTTGGAACGAAAAAAAAAAAAAAAAGAAAAACTAGATTGGATACTTTTATGAAATATATTGGAGTGATAATAGTATAAGTTATTGTACTATTTAATTTATTTGATTCTCAAGTTAATCATTACTAAATTTTTTTTTAATTCCAAATTGATAAACATAGTAGATGACATTAATGCCGAATGGTACTTCCTAAATTGCAAAAAATAAATAAATAAATAAATAAATAGATAAAACAGAAATTATAGAAAAAAATTTTCTTGCTTTTCACAAATCACACAAAAAAGATAAAATTTTTTTTTATAAAAAGAATTTGCAACTTTTTTAAAATAGTAAAAGGAGACAAAAAAACAAAACAAGAAAAGAAAAGGAATGAAAAAGTAAACAAAAATTTTTGTTAGGAAAAGAAAAGTGCAAAACATACATTTTTAATTCGTTGACGTATTTTCTCATCGATAACACGTGAAATGCTACGTGCTGGAATGCTTGAAACAAACTGATCGTAGTTTGAATTATTATCATTAGAAATTGAAAATGCTGAATTAGTAGCAATATGTGTATCATCGATGCTAGCAGCAGTAATAAACATTTCATCGCAATTGAAATTTTCATCAAATGATGAAACTGATGGACTGTATGTTTCAGTTTCATTGTTAACATTTCTTTCCGTTCGTTGTTCCTGATGTAATGTTGTGATTTCCGAAATGTTTAGTCTAATAATTTCTGATTTTGAACTTCCGTTAATAGTTTGTAAATTAGATTTTGACATATTTTTGCATAATTCATCAATATGTCGGCCTGAAAAAAAAAAAACAAACAAACAAACAAAAAATTATTTCATTTAATAAATTTGAAAAAAAAAAAAAACTTTCATATCTTTTTAACGAAAAAAAAAGGAAACACTAATTTCAGTGAATTTTAATGGATGCATCTAAGAAAAAAATGCAATATTTGTGCAATTTATAATTTGTAACAATAAATTTAATCAAACATTATTATTTTGCATTAAATTAAGCATTTAATCAGTTTTTAATTTAAAAGAGAGATGAAATAGTTTAAGCTATTTTATTCAATATCCATGGAAAAATTCGATAAAAAATGGAATTGTTTTCAAATATCGAGAGCTTTTTGAATCGAATAAATCAATGCTGTCGAAATTGACAGAACAAAAAAAAAAAAAAAAAAAAAAAAGAACAAAGAGAAAAAAAAAATTGAAGTGTAACATTTGAAGTATGAATTATCAATAATCTTAAAAGATGGTAAACACATTTTTATACATTCTTCCACCAATCCGGTAGTACTTTTTCGCTTTCTGTTTTTTGCTTTTTTCTCTTCTTATTTGTTTATTTTCTTTTTTCTTCTTCCTTCGACAATAAAATAAATTTTAAGAAAAATTTGAAAAAGAAAAGGAAAAAATTTGACTTAATTTTTGACCCAATTAATTTTATAACTGAAAAAAGAGAAAAAAAAATGTATTGTGGGTATAAAAATTGCTAAATCGAAGTTTTAATCTCTTTAATTGTTTGAAAATTAAAAAAGTATGCGGTGTTTAAAAATTAAATTCGAAAATTTTCATTTTTAATGCATTCTTTTGTGTATATCTCAAAGAGAACTAATTGTTGCATTTAAAAATTTCGCCTAACAAAATGGTAGCATAAATTTTATTTCATTTCTCTTTTCAAAAAATTCATCAGATATTCACTCTTATCATTATAATTATCAATGTTGCTTTCGCTTCTTTTTTTTCAGTTATCCATGATTTCTAAAAATTTTTTTCAGCATAACTAGTAGTGAAATTTCATGCCATTATCGTTATTCGATTATTTCTATTTATAAATGTTTGAAATGAAATGATTTTAATTCGTAAAGAAATGCAAAAAAAAAATGAACAAAAAAATTTAATTGTTTATTTGTCAAAATTTTTTAGAATCAATAAATATCGCATAGAATAAAATGGAACAAATATTGCCAAAAAAAAAAAAAAAAAAAAACGAAAAAAATGAAGGAAAATTTAAAAATTGAAAAATTACTTGCTTTATTTTTATTATTGTTCAGTTGAGATTTTGTAAAATTTTTCTCTTTTTTTTCTTTCAAAAAAAAAAAAAAAAAATGAAATAAAATAAAATAAAAATAATGCGATGAATGATTGATAAGTAAATTTCTAAAGGGAATTATTATAAGTCAAATGATAAATGATTGATTAAGCAATTATTGGATATTTTAATGATAAGATTGATTAAGCGGCATTTTATTTGTAGTATTATTATATTGCTAGTATGAACTAATAACACTTCCATTTACATTTTGATAAGAAAAATAAAAACCAAATTGAATTTTTTAACCTATTATTATCATTGAAAAAAGAATTTGTTATAAATTTTATGATTTTATCGATTACATAACAATACGATCAAGTTTTTTTTTTTTTTTTTTTTTTTTTTTGCAGTTGTAACTCAAAGAAATAAGTATTAACTAAAATTTTAAAACAAAAGCTTCAACCACTAAAGCAAATTTTAAAAACGTTTTATGATCATATTAAATGTTTAACCTTTATTGGAATGTAAAATGCTAGAATTATGCAATAAATAAAATTGTTTTGTCTTATAATAAAAATTAAATATGAAAATGAAAGTATTAAATGTTTAATAATGCTAATGTAGCATCGATTTGGTTAAAAAAAGGTATATGAAAATTTTCATGTTTTTATTTTATTGCATTTTCAGCACATTTGGTTAAGTGAATTTCAATTTAAAGAAAAGTTTTCGTATTTTTTCCAATCCTTCATTTTATTCAAATTTTATATTATTGAAAAACAAAATATTGGAATGAGTGGAATTAGATTTTAAGCAATTCTTTCATTTTTTTTTTTATTTTATTTTTTTAAATGTTAGTTAGTTTGATGAAAAGAATTGAGAAATTTTGCAAAATTTTTCAATTCTTTTCATTGAAATTATTCTAAGCTTATTTGGTTGCACACAAAAAAAAAAAAAAAAAAACCTGACGGAAAATGAAAAAAGATTCGATGCGATGAAAAATATTGAGCGAAATAATTTACACAAAGAAATGAAAAGAAATGCTTTTGAATATGTTTAGAAGTTAATTTGATACAACTTTATCTTGGCTCATATATCATATAACTTTAACTTGGCTTCATACAACTTTGTGTTGGCTGCATATAACCTATTTTTCCTCACAAATCTGTTATAAATATCGAAAAGATTTGCAGCAGTGTTGTTTATGATAAGATGTAAAAAAGAAAGAAAAAAAAATACTAATTTTAAAATGTTTTAAATTGGAATTCTTAAAAAAAGGAAAAATAACATAAATTTACTTTACTAACTTATTACTTACTAGCAAAAGTAATAAGAAAAAGGAAATAAAAGAAATGAAACAAATAATAAACCAATTAATAGCAAAATTCAATAATTAAGTTTAAAGTATAAATTTTTCTTATATGAAATTTAATGAGCATTAAAATTTTCATTTTCAAGTATTGAATTTTTCATTAAAATATTGCAAAATATTGTAATTTTCCGCAGTTAAATTTAACAAAAAGAAAGGAAAAAGAAACGAATGAAGAACAAAAAACAAATATAATTAATAAAAAAAGAAGAATATAAAACTATTTTATCATATCATTAACTTTAAGTATTTAATTACGTGTAATTAAAAGATTTAAAAAATGGAGCTTTATTTAATTGTTTTCAAATCAAATCAATTTATAAAAAAAAAAATAAATAAATAAATAAATAAACGCAAAAAAGAAAGGAAAACGAATAAATTTTTAATATTCCTTTTAGGAAAAAGAAAAAAAGGATGAAATTTCATTTTTTCATAACTTTACTTTCTTTAAATAAAATATACCTGAATTTCTCATTCATACATTTTTAATAATATTATTGTGTATTTCCATGAAGGAAACATTGTTATCTGATATTTCCAAACAATTCGTTGTCCCTTGAGAGTGATAATAAAGAAAGTGATTAGAAGAGAGAGGGAGAGAAGAATGAATTGAATATGTGTTATTGTGGCGCAAATGGATAAATCATATGTGCTGTTGTTGGCGCAAATGGATAAATCATATGTGCAACCAAATATTCGACTAATTTATTACATCATTGTGTTTAGTTAAATTTAACTTTTCCATGTATTTATGCATCAATCATAAACGAAATTTCGTTTTATTATTCATCAATGTTTTCAAAGAAAACCGTAAAACAAAAAGAAAAAACTGAAATAAAATAAACATTCTTTTTTTGTTAGTTATTATTTGAAATATATGTATAAAAAGTTTATTTTAAAAAAAAAATATGTAATATGTTAAAATTAAATAATAGAAATTTTGTTGTTTAATATTGAATAATGAAATAATGGTTTTATTACTTAGTGAGGACTATTTGCACAACGAAACACTTACTTCTTAAGTAGTGAATAAATGAATAAAGAATAAGCTAAACAAAGGAATTAGTTTAAAATTAATTGAAAACTCGCTAACTAATACAAATATTTAAATGAAGAAATAATGGCGTAAAAGTTTAAAGTTATATGATAAAAGTAACTTTCCGTATTGCAATGAGTATTGTTTGTATGCATTTTTAAGATTAACAATTCAATATAATATTTTTGCAAATGTAATACCAGAAATTAAGAAATGATTTTTTAAAATAAAATTTTAAAAAATTAAAATAACAGCTGTTAAACTAATAGATATAAGCAAGAAAAAGCAAAAGAAAATGAAGTTTGAAAAAAGTCTAAAACTTTAAAAATTATTAAAATTGTAAATTAATAAAACTGATTGCATTGTTGATGAAATATGAATTGGTGAAAAAGAAGGCAAAATAAAAAATCGTTTTTATAAAATTAAGAAAAAAGTGAAAACAAAAAAAATATTTGATTGGTGAAGACAGAAATGGAAATTTTTTTTCTTTTTGGTAGCAATTGCTGTCATTTAAAACCATTTTGCTTGATTAATTTTTTGATTTTTTTAATCATTTTGCTATTCTTAAGTAATTATTTTATTTTTTTTACTGCTTCAGTTTATTTTTTCTATTATTATATTTTTTTAATTTAATTTTATTTTTCAAACATTTGAAATGATTTGATGTTTAATTGTTGATGAAAAACAGTACAAAATTTCATATTATTATAATGATAAGAACAATTATATTTGTGATTATTGATCAGTTCGTAAATAAAGTATTTCGTCAACTATTAATTTGATATGAAAATGGATCAGTTTGATCAAGGCGCATAAAGAAAAAAATGCTAATTTAATAGAGAGGGAAAATTCATCATGCAAAAATTATTTTCTTAACTTTGAAGAAAAAATGTAACTTTGAAATAAATATCTGAAGTAGTGTTAATTTTATAAAGTCTGATATATGACATTCATATTCAATGGATTAATTTATTTACAAATTAATATTTATAGTGAACTTCGTTTACAAAAGTAATTTTTTGTAATTTTATAAGTAATTTTACAAAAGTACTTTTGCAGAAGTATTTTTTTAGTGGAGTTAATTTATGTTAATTAATTATATTTGCAAAAACCATTCTACTATAAATTCCATTCCACCTAATTTATTGACATGAAAAAAAACCGATATCAATAATATTCAATTCACATTATAAGTCATCGGTTGTTATAAATTAAATAGAATTAAAGTGAAATATTTTAATGATTAACTTTTTTTCTCTTAAATTATAGGACATATATCTGAAATTAGCATACTAATAATAGCAGTCCATTAATTAAGTTATTTTTTCATT